AACTGTGTTTCCATAGCTGATTTATTTTGTTTTTAAATATGTTCCTCTGCCCTTGCTTCTTCCCCCCACATTTTATTCACTATACCCTAAGCAGAGCTCTGATTTCCCCTTATCCTGCCATGATTACAGCTAGAGTCCTCTGCCAGGGATTCAAAACTTGGTGGACAATTCCCCCTGGGCTTACAAACTCACTGTTGTTCTCCTGCTGCTTTGGGGGAGATGAAAAGCAAATCGGTGAGCTGCCAAGAAYCACACCCAGGCAGGGATGCAGTGCTGCAAGAGCTGGTCCCTGCTCAGTGTACAGGAGACAGACACGACCCGGGGATGAGTTCATGGGGTCACACCTTGACCCTGATGCAGACCCCTCATTCCCCCGTGCCCCTGTGAAGAACAGAGAGGGATTAAACTGTAGGGCTGCAGTCCGTTTGCATTGAACAGAATGAACAGACCCCGGCCACAAATCACTCAATATTTGAGCAGGCTCTGAGAGGGTTTTCTTCCTCGCTTTAACCCTTYGTGGGACCTCGGTGTCTGCAGGAGATGGCTGGTGAGCAGCCCTCAAGCACAGGTGGCATTTCCTCCCCTTTTTCATACCACTCAGTCCCCTCCATCCATGCTGAGGCAGGTGGCTGAGAAAACTCCTCTGGGCTATGCGTCAAAATTTAGCTATCGGGAGGAAATTTTGTATCAAAAGTAAATATAAACACCAGTCCTAACTACAAACATATCACTGACTCCCTTCAGCTCTGTATAAAATCCCAGTGCAAGTGGTCCCAGAGTCAGGATTTGAGCTTGAGCTGAGTGTTACACTGGAGCTGGTGGGATTTGTGTGCGAGCGAATGGTGCCAGACAGGACCTGGGCAGTGGGTGAGTGTCTCAGTTTGCCAGATATTATGAAGAAAATGAACTCTACTGCAGCGAAAACCAGCGCGATGAGACGCAGCTGGGGATTGCAGTCAGCACGGATGGCCCATCCCGGGTCCATCGGTTGTATTTGAGTACCCTCTAGTGGACAGAAAAAACGAGTCCAGAGGCGAACACAGATGATGTGCTGCCCCTGAGCCTAAGGCACTCTCAGCTGAGTGTCTGAGCCCCCGGGTCTGCAATGTCCACACACCACGGGCCTGAGCTGAGTGTCAGGGAGCAAGATTTGGGAGGGAGGCTCAAATCTGTGGTGCTGCAGGGCAAGTGTTTGACATRAGAGAAGTGCAGGTGGTGGGGGATGCCACTTCACCTGCTAAAAGCTGAGTCACAAACACAATTACCACCTCAACCCCTTWAYAYTATTTTTCARTGYTTTTCCCTGTGCTGAAGAAAAATTYTTCAGTTCCTGCYCCAGTTTGCRCAGTCACTGGGTAGAAGASCAGAGAGGTACTGTGGAAGGAAAGTAGAATCATAGGTCATGGAAGGGAAGAAAGGAGGGGGGTTGAAATTATATCAACTGGTTTACCAGCTGCTGCTGCTGGGCCTCCASGAGCCCTCTGCTCTGAGAGCCCTGCCAGTGCTGGGCACCGTAACTCTGAGGAAATATATTCTTGTTTCATAGCACAAAGTGATAAGCCATTGGAAAAAGTGGAAACCTAGACTATATCAGGGTAAAAAGAAAGCTATTATGGAAGTTARCTCAGGACACAGGCCATAAAATAGTTATGCAGTGGGTCCAGATCAGCAGAACCATACTACTGAACTCAAATGTTCAAAAGGTGTTCTAAAATAATGACATTTATAAGGATATTGTATTGCAGATGGGATTTACTTACAGTAAGTATCTGAGTTTTGARTTCTGAGAATAACTCATCTCATTTTCCTTTTATATCTGTGAAATAACAGCAAAAAGATTCTTTTAATGACAATGATAGTAAAACCAGAAACAGCCACTTGACTCATGAAACAATTGAAYCTCTAGTTAGAGAGATTATATGCATCTCTCCATAAACTCTTTGTTTAAAGCCTKGCTTCTCCTCCTGTGCTGGGAGGGTTATCTTAAAGCTTTCCAGGAGGATACTGTTTTTCAGCATGAGCTCCTCTTACGTAGACACTTCCCAATGCTCAGACATCTTGAACACAAATAAAACTCCTTCAACCTCCTACTGAGCTTAATTACTTGTCTCCCACTCATTCTTTTCCCTCACTTCCTAGAGGCTTTTGACTGAAATCAGTCTGACCTCCTTTTCTTCGAGCATGCTTTCCCACTTGGAGCAGTCATCTTTGCCCTTGCCTCAACCCTGCAGAAACCACTCAGGCTCAAACACAGTACCACACTTAACTGCAAGAAAAGAACACAGGTTTGTATTTTGACAGTTATGCTATGCAAATTAATTATTAGTTTTATTATGGAGGCTATACATAAATTAGGCTAGTATTAGACTGCATGAATATGCTGGTTCAGTTCATGGAGGATACAGAAAGAAAGAGGGGGAAAAACAGAAAAAGAATGGATGAAAGTAATTCAAGCAACTTATCATACCAGTCAGTACTGCAGAGTTAAGAGGAAGGGGAAAAAGCCAAAAATCCCAAAGAAAATACACCTGAAACTTCAGAATTTCTTTGTCTTTCCTTCACTCAATTGAACTGAGGCAAAGGAGACCATGGAGGAGAGAGGAGCAGCTGAGGRTAACCCAGGTACTARGTRGGGAAACATAAGTTCATAAGTGAYRACTRTCACTGGTATTGGTTCTCARATTCTTTGCACATTCTCCCATAGACTTTCCCCTGCAGGTTTCCAGTGGATAATTGAGCAAAAAAATTGGTTCAGTGGAAGAAATTTTCTCTAGCATCCAATACTTGGACYATGGGAGTCCAAGTATTCTGGGAGGTTGCTTCTGAAAGAGGCAGGTTAATGCTTAGCTTGCAGACAGCTCTACTGGCACATTAGTTTTCTCCTGACAGGTTTGATTTGTGTGCACCTTTTACACAGAGGTTCACTCTTCACAGCCACCATCTGATGAAAGACCCTGCTCTAAMCTCACAGGAAAATCAGCTGATTATTTCCACAACTTCAGAGGTTAACACCACCGAGGCACTTGTTTTATTCACTTGCTCTGATGATACGGGCTGCAGAGTTACAAAAATGCCATATATGATAAGACTTGTTGGGAAACCAGATAAACAAGAAGTGCTTGGACTTCTTCATGAGCACGCACAGCCTCTCCAGGACAAAGAGGGGCAGCTTACTGGRGCCAAGCAGACACCCTGGTTTGGGGAGAAAATCCCCTCTTTTTGAAGCACTTGCACAGGCACKCGGCAACCTTTGGATGGACACTGCTCAGCAACCACAGCAAGCTTCAGTGGGAACTCATGGCTCAGGTCCTGCTCTGTTTTTGCTGTCTCAGGCAGCAAACTGCCAGCTGTGTACTTCTTGTTACTATCTGAATAAACYGGATTATTCAGGAAGCCAAATGGGGATAAAAATGCCATTAGAGAAGCAATTTGTTTAAACATAAAGCTATTCACTAGCATACGATATACGTATGCTTTCATGAACTCCAGCCCAGGGCTTTTTAACCCTTCAGAGGCCACATGAGAAYGATTTATGTTCCAAAAGCACTTTCTGGTGGATTGCAGCACTTCTGGAAACTGCAACACCTGTGCCAGAAAGGCTGCACTTGGGTGGTGTTTTCACTCAGCTTAACAAATGGTGTTTAGTGGCAGGGAAAGAAACCAATGGGGATTTAGGAAGGAACCCCACCTATGAAGCCTTGCTTTTTTTGACTTATGAGTTTCATGCTCCAGATTTCTTATTTAACCACAAGCATCAAAAGACCATTCTGTGTCTGTCACTTTGACCTTTCTTGATTTTGACAGATTTCCATCACATCCCAGACTCCTCCAGCTGTTCCATTCTGGGGTGAAAAGTCCTAATCCACTTACCAGGTCCTCTTTCAGGGGCTGCTCCTCTCTGGAGATGTTGCTGCATACCCACGTGGGGTGCTGAACCTGCTTGGGGGCTGGCTGCATTGATGCAGTGTCAGCATCGGGTTTTTATCACTTTTCTAACGTGGTTTYTGTCTGTCCAGAGGACAACWRTCCTGRTGAGAAGGKTCTGGAGCACAAGTGTGATGAGGAGCAGCTGAGAGAGCTGGAGGTGTTGAATCTGGAGGAAGAGAGGCTCAGGTGGGACCTCAGCACTCTACAACCACMTGAAAGGASGMTGCAGCCAGGTGGGGGCCTGTCTCTTCTCCCAGTTAAAAAGTGACAGCTGAAGAAACAGCTTCGAGTCRCACCAAGAGGGRTTTAAATTGGATATTAGGAAAAWTTCTTTCACTGAAAGGGTGGTCAGGCATTGGGACAGGTTGCTCGGGAAAACGGTGAAATTGTTGTCCCTGGGAAGGTTCAAAAAACACGTGGAAGCAGCACTTAGGGTTATAGTTTGATGGTGAGTTTGGTTGGGTTAATGATCGGATCCCGTGATCTTAGAGGTCTTTTCCGGTCATAAAGACCCAGTAATTGCGTTATTCCACACAGCCGTGCCCGGGGCGAAGGTTTTTTGCCCAGGTGCTGCTCGGCAGGAGCCCTGCACACCAACACAGAGAAGCTCTGGGATAACCAAGCCCTGGTATGCCCAGCAGCCCTGGTTTGCCGCGTGTGCCTGAGGGGCAGCAGAAGGACCAGCAGAAGGACCAGCTGCTTCCTTCTYCTTTCCCAAAATAAACTTGGGAGCACACAGGCGCTCCGAGGTGTGCGGCCAYGGCCGCGGGGGTGGCCGTGCCTTGCACCCGGCTGGCGCTGCCTCGGGATGGGGTTGGGTAAGCAGCGCCGTGCCCATTGTTTTAAKGCAGGGAGAGGCGTGCGAGCTGTTTCCAGTGAGGAGGAAGAGAAGCGCCAGGATGCACCGAAGCTCGGGGGAAGTTTSGGTCCCGGGAGGAAGAGGAACCCAGGGATGAGTTAGTGGGGTTCTCGTGGCAGCATTCCCGCCCGTCGGTGTAGTCGTGGCCGAGTGGTTAAGGCGATGGACTAGAAATCCATTGGGGTCTCCCCGCGCAGGTTCGAATCCTGCCGACTACGAGCCGCGCTGCTCTTTTCCTCCCCGTGCCGGACGTTTTCTTCCCCCGGCTGGTTTTGCACCGGAGCCGCCGCTGCCCGACATCCGGCAGGGCGGCCGCTCCAGCCCCGGGAAGGGAAGGGAAGGGAGGCGGGACCTCCTCCCGCGGCCATGGAGCAGCGCGGCCCGGGGCCCGCCGTGCTGGTCACCACCAGGTACGGGACGGGCCGGGGAGCGGCCCCGCGGCCGCAGCAGCCTGGGGAAAGGAAAGGAAAGGAAAGGAAAGGAAAGGAAAGGAAAGGAAAGGAAAGGAAAGGAAAGGAAAGGGCAGAGCGCGGGGCGGCGGACGCTGAGGGAAGTGGCGGAGGGGAACCCGGGTGCTGCTGCGTGGGTTTGCCCCGGGACACTTCAGATATTCTCCAGTTTCCCAGCCGGGGGAGATCCCTGGCCCGTCCTCTGTGCCCTTTCSTCCTGTGATAATGTCGGGTCATTTCCCGTCTCCACTGGTGCACTGTCGCCGTCCGGGAACATCTTTTCCTGGTCGGTGTTTCGAGATGGGTCGGCAGGAATTAGGATTRATCCTGGGCCGTGCAGCGGCCTCTYGGAGAGGCGGTRTCATCAGTGTTTCGGCTGTTTCCCYTTCCCCTGCCGTGCCCTGCAYYCCGGTCCTCTGKGGCTGGAAGCCCAGGGATGGGCTAAATGAGTTTATTCTCCTTCCCCACCTTCTCGAAGCTATGCCCTCTGTGGCACAGCGGCGCTATTTTCCGTTGCATTTAATTTTTAAACCCTGGGGGTTTTTCCTCATGAGAAATGCCTCAGGAAAAAAAATGCTTGTGGCAATCTTTTATGGATACATTGATAGCTCTCTATCTCTTTTTCTTTTTTACTTTTTTATTTTTTTTTTAATCCCCACGAGATATTTGAGACCACATGAAAGCAGTTTCCTATCAGATAAGACATGAGAAGCAGAAGTGTTGATTCAGCAAGGTCCTTACTTCCTAGGATATAATGGCTATTTCAGTTACTTTAATTTAAAAGCCATTATTTTAATCTTACAGTATTTGTGTGTATCAGGACTGGACCTCCTTTGGAGCTGTGGCCTTGAACCTTCAAATACATCTAATGTGACTAATAGATTTTGGTTGGACTGACTTAATGTAAAGTCTTAGAAATGGCTTTTACAGTCATTAGACTGAAAAAGACCCACTTGCAGATTGTTCCACTGAAACTGGAATGCTTTCAGTGATAAAATTGGTATATATATGTATATGTGGAATTAAGGCTTTAGCAAGTGAACATTTTGTCGCTTGTGGGGTAAAATAGCTGTATAGTTGTGACCTTTTCCACTCTGTATACTTACTGGTTTTGGGAATAGTATTTGTAGTTGCTGTGGTAATATAAATCTTTGAATCACAGAATATGCTGAGTTGGAAGGGACCTGCCAGGATCATCGAATCCAACTCCTGGCCCTGCCCAGGACACTCCTGGGATCACACCATGTGCATGAGAGGGTTGTCCAAAAACTTCTTGAACTCTGTCAGCCTTGGTCCTGGGGAGCCTGTAATCTGTATACTTGTCATTAGGCTGTACAGAGAAATAAATTGTTTGCTGGGTACTTTCCSTTCACTTATTGAATAAAACTAATTGTACAATTTTTTTCTCCTTCTGTCATGACCAGGGATGTCACAATTTGGCTCCATTTGGAGAGAGATTGTTGGACCTGGTGCTGCTGGCCAGGTGTCTTTATCAAGGCAGGAAGCAGAGAGTCTGCTCTCCTGGCCACAACAGTCATGGGAAGAAATGTTTTTTCTGGTCACAACACTTTCATCTCTCTTTTGACTTTCTTGAGGTGGCTATTCCACTCCTTTCAGCACAGAAAGCAGATTAATTACAATACAATTTAATTATTGTATGCAAATCAAAAAATGAATGAAAAACTCTCTCTTCCATGAACTGTGGAAGCTGTGCTGCTCAGCTGACCTTTATAGTCTCTACTTCCTCTGTTCCAGGCCAATCCTGCATGATCTGATTGTGCAATGATCTGATTCACACCGTGTTACTGCTATGAATGGTCTCCTTGTGTTTGGGTAAAGTTACTCTGTTAGGAAGGTWAACAGTGTGCCTAGGTCTCCCATGAACTGTCTGTACTGCAGACAGAAGTGTAAGCTGGAGATCAACAAACTAGATTTAAATTGAAGTACAAGCAATAAACCCGTGTGTCCAATTTAAACARCCAGCCTTTTCCTCTGCTGCCTTTTTTAAAGCTACAAGTGTAAAAATAATTGTATTTGATATGAGAAAATGCAGTGTAACTATATTCTGTCTTGGGATTTGCAGGTGCTGGTTCTGTTTGAGAGTTKTTATAATAATACTTTAATTAACTAAACACTAAGGCTGCTTATTTTGAAGGCATTACAAGAGCTAGGGAACACTTTGGATAGTATGCTCTGTCTGTCACAGTCTCCCTGCTGATTTCTGTTTGTTTAGAATCAGTTTTATATTTAAAAAGAAATCCTGTTGCTATGGAAGAGATAATAGGGGTGGGTTTTCTGAAGTAGGTGATAATGAAAGTGATCATAAGGCCTAAAGCAAACAAACAAATATGTAGCTATTCCCCCTTCCCTCTAATTGTTTTCCACAACATTTTAGCTTTGACTTTAACAACTAAAAGAGTACTCCTGGGTATACATAAGGTACTTACTAACTTAATGTCATTTTTAGAACTCTAATGCAGCAGCTCTTACAGTGAAATTGTCATTTTGCCATCAGAACATCTGTACATGGTTGGTGTTTTCAGCTAAACAAAGCTACTTGAGGATGGTTCACTGGTCATTATTCCTTTTATTAATAATATTAGTGGTGAAAAGTAGGTCAATTAGTCATTTATACTCTGTGGTAACAGAAGTATAATCATAGACTCGTTTGAGTTGGAAAAGACCTTTAAGGTCATCAAGTCCAAGCATTAACCCARCACTGCCACRTCYACCACTAAACCCTGTTCCCAGGTGCCACATCTACATGTCCTTTAAATATCTCCCAGACTGGTAACTCATGCACTTCCCTGGGTTAGTCATTYCTGAGTGCTGTCTGACAGATCTTTTTGCTGCCATAGCTGCAGTCACAACTTCTGAGCWACTGCACGTCTGGAGAGTTGTTATGATGTGATTATTGTGATAATTAGAGAGAGAGRCTTCTACCCAAAGTAAGGTGCAAATGAGACCATATGCCAAAGTCAATAGCATGGATTTTATTTAACAGTAAAATGTGTGTGTGTGAGAGAGAGAAACAGAAAGGGGCAGGGGGGAACAGAAGGAGTATGAGAAATTAAGTAGAAAGATAGTCACCACCCCTGTGGATCCGGCAGCATTCTGTTGGTCCTTCTTCACCCTGGTCTTTTCAGTGGTGGAGGTCCCATAAAATGTAAAGTTCAATGGGTTAACACATTCAGGAATATGTGGGAATGCCTGAGCACCTCCCCTACAGTGGGGAGTTTGTTATACAGTCTTCTACAACACCATGGATCAGCTAGAAGGCCCCAGAAATAAGTCTGGGAATGCTTTGGGTGTCTTTGATGGTTTATGACACCTTTTAAGACATGACAGCTGCCTCTYATGCSTGTGTTGAGCCAGTGATGYTCCATCAGAAGGGATAAATACCCTCAGGCATACATGTGAGTGTGAATGTCCTGTGCTCAGTGTCTCTTCTTTTGAGTCAGTGGATTATGGTTTCCTCCAGTCAGAGCCGACCTTCAGCACAGTGGCTGAGTTGGCCTTCCCTGTGGACTTCTTGTAGTGATACAGTCTTCTTCAGTGTTGTTTACCTCTCTTTAGGCTTGAGATAATCTGGACAATAGTACCTTTTTCTGAAATCCCCATCAGGGGCCTTTATTTACTGTCCATATTTCCAGGAATTCATGGAGGCAGATTTGGGGTGGGGGAATTGGTAGTTGCAGTTGAGGAGTCGCTTCTTTGTAGAGTGGGTAAAATCCTTTGGTGATCTTAACAGTGTGATCTGTTAATCTCTTAAAAGAGCATATTCTCTGCTGCAGGTATATTCTAAAAAAACTCCAGATCCTGCTGATTTTACTGGCAGGTGCCCTTAGAGTCAGCATTTTGGCTGCCACTGAAGGAGGCAGCGTTCCAGATGATGATTGTTATTCACAGGTCCCACAGGCTGCTGTGTGAAAGCCAGGCACCTGTGTATTCACACATGGGCACTGTTGGTCTTATGTTAAAGCTCACCACATGTAATTCAGAATAAAATTTTGTCTGGATGTGTAAAGTCAAGTCCTTGCCTGGCAGAGCATGAGAACAGAATCAGAGCAGACAAAATAGCATCATCAGAATAGCATCATCAGAATACTGGAGATGGAAGAGCTGTTGTTAAAGCCTAAAGGCTTGCAAAGAGGATTGGGTACAAAATTGGATCTGTGCCCTTGTTTATTGTTGTTCTATTTATCAAGAAGTCTCAAGATACTAACTTTAAAAGGCTTTTTATTCAAGCTTTTCATTAGACATTCAGAGGTTGCCTTCTTGGGGAAGCTCAGGTTTCATAAGAACTGATCAAGTTTTGACATGATGAGAGGAGTCTTTTGAAACATCGTTTGAAACTAGATTGTTTTAAACCTCTTGAAAGTGTATATTAAGTTTTATGCATTATGTATCCTTAGGTGAAACAGCACCTGTGTTAATAAATCTAAACTTCCTAAAGGAAGAGGTAAGAATTCCACAGGACRCCAGACACCAATGCAAACCATAGGAAATATAGGGAAGATGGGATTTGATACTCCTCGTGGTTTAGATTTAAGAAGCTAGAAAAAATGTTTCATGATCYCAATCTGGGGTTTTTTTTAATGGTCCCTTGTGATTTCTCTAAAAAAAAATCACTCTCACATAGGAAGTATGTACAGAGAGATGTGTTCAAAGGGTAGTCAGTCCTTTGGATGATAAACTTCTTACTCTGATAGAATACTTGGTTCCAGTGACAGCAAATGTGCTGTGTGTTGGCATAGGGTAAGTTTGGGGAAGGGAACTCCGATCAGCTTTGGTTTTCAGGGTATTGAAACAGACTGTTTTTTTCATTAGATATCCTGTTTAATGCCCAAACAGCAGTTGCTTGGTTTTACTCTTGATATGTGAGCACTCTAATATGATCTTGGMATKCCTCTTGCAAAMATKTCRTWAATATTTCCTTGGGTSGCAATGGGARRGGAAGGTGACACCACAGTTTTGTGGATCTGAAGCTGGTAGGAGGAAAAAATGCATTGAGTAAACTGCAGCAGCAGCTTCCTGTTGAATTTCCCTCCAAGTGGAGCTGTAGGTAGTTCTGACTGCTGGCAATTTGCAGAGGTTAATGCTTTAATTGTCTACTTTAACTGGATATGAAGGGAGAGGTGGTTCTGTTTCCAGTAGGATTTTCTATGGCAAAGGTGAGATGTTTTAGCTAGTGTGCCCTTTAGGCAACAAGACTGTATATCAGACAGTCAAAACCAGAAGGGAGCTCCAAGGCATCATGTCCTTCTTTAACTTGCTCAGTCCTGATAGATGTTTGTCTAATTTTCCTCAAGGTCCTTCACAATTGGAAACTCTGGTGGCCCATCAGTCTGCTCCAGCAGCTTCCTTTGTATTTYGGGCTTTAATCCAGTTCCCTGGTTGGCTCTTCACAAACCTTAAGCTGTCCCTGTGCTCCTTTTTCCTTTCATGGCACCTTTCAGCTCTGAATATCTGTCATTCCTGGGTATGTCCTTAGACAAGGGAGAGGTGGATGGGGCTTGGCATGAATCATAATGAACAGACCTTTGTCTCAAAATAWACCTGATGAGAGATCATGGGATCTTCTCACCTGCTGTGCTGGGTAAGAGCACTTTCAACTCTTGAGAGTGAAGTCCTGTTCTGAATGAATCCACATCTCTTCACAGAAATGCTGTGTTCCCAGCATGTTGCCTGCAGTGGCTCGTGGCAGGTGCTTTGGGATGGCATATAGGAAACAGGCCMTGTCCAAATTTGTCTTGTTGCAGGGCAGGAACTGTGTTGGGGCAGGGTCTGTCTGATACCCTGTTCCACTGGGAGTCTCTGCACTGATTTTCTWGGGCTTTTACCCTTATCCTGGGAGRGGGACAGTTAAAAGCCTTTGTGCCAATGCCTGAACTCTGTGTGTTTTCTTCCCTAGGCAAATTCAGAATACRCACACAGGGCTGGATTTGTCAGTGCCAGAATACCAGGAAATCCGGGGGAAGATGATGTCTGGCCATGTCGAGTATCACATTGTCGTCGTTACCCGACTGGCTGCCTTCAAATCAGCAAAGCACAAGCCTGAAGATGTGGTTCAGTTTATGGTAAATATTTAATCAGAGCTGTGTTAGTGATCATTTTCTTAATCAGCTTTGGTTATTTCTGTTGTGATGTAGCAGATGCTTCGTCATCAATCACAGCCTTTCTGGGTCAAGGTCCTTGGTAGGACAACACAGTCTGTACMATTTCTGCAATTCCTATTCCATTATGTATATTCCATTATACATATATTAWTTAAACTTTTTATTCTAGCAGCTAAAAATGACCATGACTGTTGTTGCCTTTGAGGCATTTTTCATTATGGATCAACAAATAGAAACCAATTAAGCTTTTTGTGAKTTCTGCTACAAATTAGTTTCTCCAATGTATGTATCAGAACTAGACTTGGTACATAAGCATGAAATAAATACATATTAGCTTATTTGAATTGATCTATTACCTTGACACGGCTTTTAAAATYCTTAGTGAGCGAGTTTTACAAGGAAGTGCCTGTATAAAATATTACAGAGTTGGATTGTCTTTTCATTATACCTGTAAAGGTTTGGAAAAACAGCACACGATTTAAAACAAGTGAAATGAATCTCATCTATGGCATGTGCACATCCACTTAAGCTGTTTCACCTGGGACTGTCTGTTGAGTTGATGGGAAAAGGTGCATTTGGGGTGTTTTATTTGATCTTCTTTAGCTGCCTGCTGAACCACTCCCAAGAAGTGCATTTCGCTGTCCATTGACTGTAAAGGGACACACCCTGTTGCATGCTGTGAACATCTGCTCTTTTCAGATGTTTTGCCTATAACTGTAATGTCAGAGAGATGTGAGTGTGTGGCTACCTGGTAGACTGCATTACCTGCAATGTAATTTGCATTCCATGGAAAGTAGTTGATAAAAGCCTATTTAAACAGTCTGATTTGCAGATAAGCACCTGTCAGTGCTGTAAAGAGATGCTTGATGAGATCTCTTGCACTTATTCCACATCTCATGCTATATATAATTGTGCTAAAAGCAGCAATTGCTGGCATGGGAGCCTGTTCTGTTTCCCCTCCTCATCCCTGACTGCTTGTTCTCGCTCCCGCAGTGTTTCCTTTTGTGTGCCAGTGTCATGTGGCTATTCCATAGTGTCAGCTGAGGAGCTGCTCCTTGCTAAACATGGGTATTTTGGGGGTTTTTAGTCAATACTGATTTACACCTGTTCCTTGAGCCTGTGAGTTGCACAGCTCTGTTAAAGTTCRTTTTACGACAAGGGGAAGGACCATGCATGGGAAGTTAAGAGAMGGTGATATGCAGTTTCTTTTTCTCATGCAGCAATGCCTGCTTATATTATGTAATGTTTCCACACAGCCCTRTGTAAGCAAAAATCTGACTAAACCTGAGGTGTTGAACTGGGCTGTTGTCGTCTGACTTCATTTTGCTTCACTTAAGAATAAGTTGATAAAATCAGCTTGTCTATAAAGAGGAAAAACCGACTTCATACTGCAGCCCCCCTGCTTGCTGGGGTTGTCTGTTCCCATGTCTGCTGTCTCTAGGAGGATTTTCAGCACTCAGTTGCTCTTCTCAAGTGAAATGATTTCTCCTCTGGTGAGGCCTCCTGACATTTCATTCTTCATGAAGAGGAAAACTGGTGGAGCCTGACGGGAATAACATTTATCTCATCAGTTACATTTTTTTCAGCTGACTAAATATGATATATTATATAGTTTGTTGTGTGAGAGTAATTTGAAACCGTGAGCTGGGAGGTTTAGGATGGATGCTTTCCATCGATTCATTCCGATGAGTCTTGTCTGTRTGTATTACTGGAAGGAACAGAGGGATTCACCTGTCCTAACTTATCTCTCTCTAAGTTGGATATTTTAATCTGAGTCTGTCCCTGGTTGTGTGGTCAGTGGGGAGAAGGGGAATGATGTGACTCATCCTCTGGAAATGTCTCTCCTCTTTGACCATAAAGGGAAAGCRTCTGCATTTTAGAGAGCTGCACTGGGGGCTTCAMCTCCAGGCTAAAATGCTTGAGGGTYGGTAGGGTTGCACRCAGGTCACTGTGTGCACTCGGAGGTGCCCTGGGATTTTTCACCTGGTTTTTGGAAGGTTGTGGGTCTCCCACAGATCTTGTGTGGTATTAACCTGCCCCACATAAGCCCTTTGCATACCCCAGATCATCTCTGATAGCACGGGGTGCCTGTTTCTGGGCAGAGCAATCTGCTCTCTATAATTAGATGTCTTCATTTGGTTTTCTAAACTGCCATCCCAGTCGGGGCAGTGCTGTTGGAAAGGATGTAGCTGAGCATCAGTGGGGTGGGGGAACCCACTTTGTGTAATTAATAGCTGGTACCGTTTGAGAAGCCCTGAATTATCCTGTATGCAGATGTATGCACAGGGCTGGCAGGTGTGACAGAGGACATAAAGGCATTGACACTGCCCTGGAACAGTGAGGAGAATACAGTGCAGCATCTGTACCACTGGCTGACTGTGTTCAGGTGAGTTGAGCTTCAGTCACATTTTACCAAAAGGCTCTTATCTGACAGTGATGGGAGCTGAGACACCTCCTGCATGTGGACGCATGGCTTGACSTGGAGACAAGTCCCAATCCCTTGGCTGCCAGGGGACATGGCTGGCAGCACCGGAGTGTCTGCACAGTGCTYTGTTCCTCTGGGTGCTGGACCAGCACAAACAGGAGCTTTGATCCTTGTCTGGAGAGTTTACAGGGAAAGTGTAAGAGAACCAGGTACCTKGGGAACAGCAGAGAACAATGAGGGTACAATGGGCAGCAAATCTAACACACCAAATCTGTATCACAAAGCAGAGTGAGATGAGATGAGGTGAATGAAGGAGAAAGAAGAAACTACTGTGTGCCTGTTCTGGAGGAGAGTAGGGGAAGGGACATACTTTTTTGCTTCTGTTGAAACTGCCAAATTCGGGGAGCCGCTGTCCCAGCGCTGAGGTGACAGGTAGGTTAGCAAAGATAGGCAGGCATGGTAGGATTTTCATTGTCTCTGGAGGCGTTAACTGTGTTTTTGCAGCCCGGGATCACGGTCGGTGTTCGGTGTCCCTACCGCGCTGCCCTCAGGGCCCTCACCGCGCGCTCCGGGCGCCGGCAGCGATCCCGGCAGCGATCGCGGCTCCGGGGGATGGTGATGTTTGCGGCTCTTTTCCCTGGAAAATGAGGGTGAACAAGGCAGAAGCGTCCTCTAAGCTAGCTGTGATCTCTGGGATCGAATCACGGCATCTGTTTTGGTGGGAAAAGGCCGCTAAGGTTATTGATCCAGCCTTTGACCCATCACCACCTTCTCAACTAAACCAGGCACCAAATGCCATGACCAGATGTTTCTTGAACATCTGCAGGGATGGTGACTCCACCACCTCCTTGGGTAGTCCATTCCAATGTTTAACAACCCTTTCCATGAAGAAACTTCTGATGTTTGACCTGAAGCTCTGCTGGTTCAGCTTGAGGCTCTGTCCTCTCGTCCTGTGTTAAGGCCATGTGACAAAAATAGATGAACTTCAGAAAGATGTTCCAGATCTGATCTGTGGGGCCTTTACTGTGGGTCTAAGGAATCCAGAGTGCCCTATTCCCCAGCCTTTTTAGGACTATGCAAAATCTGTATCATGGTGTTTCTAATTAAAATGTTTGTAAAGCATTAAGAGAAGAAGAAATTAACTTCTGTGATGACATTCATCTAAATTCTTAGAAACTGTAGGGATTTTTTAATTTTAAAAAATGCTAATTGTAAAATAGGGCATATGGGTTGGAAAACTGCTTAACCTTAAGGTTATATTTGGTAATTAAAGGAAAAGTCAGCTGCATTTCTTTCAAAGGTCAGAATACTCTTGTACTATCRAAAGAGGGAAATTGGTTTTCTCTTTGGTGCTGCTGCCAAGGTGATGTTTAATTATTGCCTGTAGATTTGCCATTTTCTGTGATAAAAAGAAAAGGCTTTGCTTTTCTTAAAGGCATTTCTTCTAGCCACACCTTAGGTTTTTTTAGCAATTAGCTTCTCCCTTCTCAGCCTTATTAATAATCCACCTAGCCTTTAGAGCCTTCTCTTTATGTCTGCATCCACTTGTATTCTTTTGTACAAGTTGTTTGTTAGTCAAGGTTTTTCTTTTTTAAAGCTGAACAAATAACTTCCACTGGTACTACTTGTGTTTGACAGGCATAGCACAATTTAAGGAGGCATTTACTATAGAACTGTCTTCCTCTCATAAAATGAGGGAGTGTATGAGTACATGGGCGTGTGTTCTTTTRTGTTTTCATCATGACCTTTTTGCATATGTTGCCCGTCTCTTTTTGGGCCTCAAAGTCTGTGCATTGAAGGTGCTTTTTCCTGAGCATATCTTTGTGTTGTGAAGATAAATTCCTTCACCTCATGACTTCTGGGATGTGAGAGTGGGTGAAAAAAAATTCCAYGCTCCATAAAGCAGTAGGTTCAGGAGCCACTTAGGATTCATGTTGATTAAAAAGAAATATTAGAGTTCTTGCTCTTCTGCTGGGCAAAACAGATGGGAAGAGCAGCATGTGGTCATGTAATTAAAATCTACCATAATGCATACCCRCGGGGTCACTGAGCAACATTAATCCTGGTATGGTTTGAATTGGGAGTTTCCAAGCGAAAGCTTGGCTTGTGCTGTCTGGGAGAGAAGGGATRCTTTTGATTCCTGTACCCAGAGATGGTTGTTTTAAAGGGCAGAGCTGCTGGAACTCCATGTTCTGATCATGGTAAGAAGTGAGCTTTGTAAAGAACAAAGTCACAATAGCCCTGGTTTTCATGAAATACTGTGAAATCAAATGTGCTCTTTGCTGGCATGCAGTGGCTGGCAAAGGGCTCAGGTTAGCTCTGCGGTCTCCATTTTKTTTAAATCCTTGCAGTAGATATAAAGCATATGAAAACAAGTTTGAGGTCAGAAATGGGGCAGTAAAAAGAGCTTTAAAGGGAAAGAAGGCATTCAGTTGCATTAATAGTGAGTGGGATCAAACTCTGCACACAAGTGCGAGTCCCAGGCTCATATCCTGCAGCCATTCCGGTGTGTACTTTCATGCGTGAGGCCCTTGGGAAGAGGGCGGCAAGGCACATGCATGAGATTTGAGGGATTAGCAGCAAACTTCAGACTTTCACTTTGAACTTCCTGGTGGTTTTCTTAACCTTCTAGCTGTACTTGATCACATTCAACTTATTTATTTGTTCCAAGTGAAAAAAAAAAAAAACCCAACCCATCCCTGTCTCTCTTTTAAGTTCTGTGTTGGATGTTAATTGTTACAGGCAAATAGGGTCTTGACCTGGCAAATGTGCACATGCTTTGCTGTATTTGCATGATTAACTCTTTTGAAGTGAAGCAGATTGAGCCTTTGATATTGTGACTTGACAGARCTCCTTGAAGTGTGTGCACTCAGGCTGACTTACAGGTGGTGGGGGTTTAGCTCCTCAGTGTTCACAGAGCTCAATTAGAGGCATGGAGGGGAGAGGATAACTGCAGGATCAAGACCTGAAGGAATTGCAGGCAGCAGAAGAAAAATATCTGGATATTAATTAAATGGAACTTTGTTTATTTAATAGGATTGATAGAATGGGGTTTTCTTTTTTATCCTGACATTTTGGGCCATAGGATCCATCAACAGTTTTCAAAGGCCTCTGAGTGATAACCAGGAAAAACAAGATTTAATTTTGTTACATGCTGATACACCTGTCTCCTGGAAAACTGACAGAGGATGTCAAATTGAAAAGGTCCAAAATTGTCACAGCAGAGCAGTGCCTTCTGACWGGAAAGGTGTGAGAATGCTCTGTGTGATGTCTGGGGTTTAACTTGTGAAAATGCACTCTGTGGAAGCTGGCTAGCACTTCATAAGGCYCCTGTGCTGCATCTGCTGCTGCATCCAGCTCTGGGGTCCCAAATACAGGAAAGCCATGGACCTGTTAGAGTGGTTTCAGAGAAAGGGTACGGAAGTGTTCTTAGAGCTGGAACACCTGTCCTGTGAAGAGACTGAGAGCTGGGGTCCTTCAGYMTGGAGAAGGGAARGCTCCAAGCTGGTTTTGGAGSCACTTCCAGGACCTAAAGGGCCTGTAAGAAACCAGGAGAGGGASTGATTACAGGGGCTTGGAGTGATAGGACGGGGCAGAAGGGAAGGTTTAGATTAGATGCAAGGAAAAACTTCTTTACTGTGAGGGTGGTGAGGCACAGGAACAGGTTGCCCAGAGAAGCTGTGGCTGCCCCAACCCTGAAAGTGTTCAAGGCCAGGTTGGATGGGGCTCTGAACAACCTGRTCCAGTGRAAGGTGTCCCTCCCATGTGGAACTGGATCATCTTTATAGCCTCTTCCAACCCAAACCATTCAGTCATTCTCAGTGCACCAGTCTGAGGCTGCGGGGCTCAGCCAGCCTTTGCTGCATTTCCATCACCAAACCCAGGGTGAAGATGAGCCACGGTGTTGAGGAGCCAGTGGCTGCCAGGGCTCAGCTGGCAGGGGCCAGCACTGGGCTTGGGTAAGCAGGGAATGGTTTTGGCTGGAGGTGACACCTCACTGTACAGCAGGGTGTTCCAGCAGAGGGCATCCCGGCACTGCTGGATACCAGCCTGAGCGGGGTGCTGCAGGCTGTGGGAAGCACATTAGTATGCTTTGGAGACAGTGCTGTCACACTTGGTATTCTGTGTCGTGTACCTTCCCGGCGTTGTTGTTCATAGCCCACGCAGATCCACAAAGGCGCAATTAGCGATGGGATGCGAGGGTGTGCATTTGCTTTAGGTTTGGTGGTGTAATTAGACGTAAATTGAGATTTATGAATAATTTACAGACTTTGATAGAGGAGGAATGAAAATTAAGTWGGGAAAGAAATAAGTTTGTGTACCTCAGTTCAGTATTAGAGTATTTTTAAACTGTTTTGGCATAATCTTGATTGGCTGCTGCCTTTTAATGCTTTCAGAAATTAATTTKGCAGTTATTATTGAAATTAAGTAAATGTTAAACATTTTTCACAAATCAGATTTTTTTTTCCTGGGTGGAGGGTGATAGTGTTTATTCTTGTGAAAGAGCAGCAGTGAAACCCTTACTGGCCTTACTTTTGCACTTCTGTAGCATTTTTGGGAGGGGCTCAGGCATCAAACCSTGTTCAGAGTGGTGCTGGGACCTGGCAAACCAGAAATGTCCAGTAATTCAGAAACTCTGGAATTGCTTTCATCTCTCTTTTTGGGGTATCTTTCAAAGGGAARATTACTATATTCTGCAATATCTCTRTTGCCCCCAGTTTCATGCTTGGCTGCTGAATGGCATTTCAGATCGCACATGTGGAGCACAGTGTGGCTCACACCTTTCACAAGACAAGTCTAAAATTCTTGGTTTTCATTCCCATGTCGACTCAGGTTGGGTGTTGTGCTTCAGATCTTTGTTATAGAGCTGCTTGCCTTTTGTGAYTGGACACTGAACCCACAGTGAACAYTGTACAACTGCAATGCAAATGCTTTCCAAATCAGCTGGCTTGGTTGATAATTACTTCAAAAGGCAGAGAAGCATGAAAGCTGAGAGAGTTATTGCTCTTTGTGCCCACATCTGAATCAGTGAACTGGTCAAGGTGTGCCTGTTATTGTCAGGGCCTGTGTTCAGGCTTGGAGGGCAGCTCAACAGTCTGGCTGCATCTGTGGGATATCACTTYTTTACCATCTGCGGTGGGCATCAGTACCCAAACTGGCTGCTGTGGGGCCTCTGCATCAGGCCACATCTTGGGCTGAAAAGTTACCTGGGGGAGTGCTAACTGCCCRGAGTGTAGGAATTGTGCCACATAGGTTCCAGTAGACACTGTAAATGAGGCTTCTGGTGGATACTCTTCCGTTCCAGTGCCAGATTCTGTTAAGTTTGCTCGTATAGATGCAGTGTGGGGATTCTGCATTAATCTATAACTCATTTCCCTTCCATGCTTTTTGTTAGGTTGGCTTTCTTTTATCACTCTGGTGGTGGAAGAACTCTGCCTTTCTCCATTCCAGGATATGGTGCTTGAATCTCTCCATCTTTATATCCATCTCAGTATGTGCAGTGCTGCATATATTGCAGTGTTACTTAGGATTCACTCCACTAGAGTTTGTCAACATGTGTTACAGGAGGGTAAGAGCTGAACCCTAAAAGAGTATCTGTCATATGCACTCCACTAGCACTATTTTTTTTGGTTGTTGTTTTAATCRCTATTAATTGAAGCACGTTGGTAGATTATGAGGCCATGGAGGGCCTTAACAAATAYATTATCTGTATAGTATTGCAGAACATGACAGTCACCCTCATTGCATCTGTAACATCACCTAGAGACAGTGTTTTGTTTGTGTGTGGGTTTTGTGTATTGGTTTGTTTAAGGTACTGAATTCAATACTTAATGTGGCATAGAAGGCACACCTTTTCTAACCAACATTCCCATAGCTRTTGCTTTCCTTGTAATATCTTGAACCTTATTTCTCCTCAGGCTTCCTGTYTTTGTCCACAGAAGGAATTACTCCATTCACTGTTGGCATCTTCTCCCTGTATGAGAACCTGTAGGCCACGGCCAAGTTGTTGGTTTTTATTTTCTCATGGATGAACTGAATAGTCGGGTCAGCTGAGGTCTTTGCCCTTAGGTTTTTGTGTTATGTGCTCTGCAGGGCAGCAAACGTGACAGGTTTTAGGCCTAAACAGCCTGAAACCAGCAGGAGTGAGGAATGGGACAATGGTGCAAAGGCATAGGCAGCTTTCTCCACCATGCATCTTATCTGCATTTCCTCCTTCCTGTCTCTCAGGACTGGGCATCTCTTTCAGTGGACAAGGATTCCTGCAGTCAGAAAGGTATCTGGAGCAGTGACCTTCCCAGTATTTCATTAGCTGATGAGTCAGACAAATGATTCTGGCAATGAACTTTGATTACATTAAGCAATGGATTTTAATAACAGAATTAGAAGACCAGCAACGATGCTTGAGGATTCACTGGGTACATAATAGGCTTTTGCTAGGCTATATGTAAAGCTCCTTGCAAATAATGTGTTTTTCCACTTCAGTTTCCACAGTTCATGTTTCACAGCATTTAAACTGCTGTTTTCCTGCTCCTGTCTCCCCTGTAAATAAATGAACCCAGGCAACAYATTTTCCTTGCAGGTTTCCAAGAAGTACAGCGAGATTGAAGAGCTCTACCATAAACTGGCAGCACGATATCCACAGGCTTCTCTTCCMCTCCTGCCTAGAAAAGTTCTCTTTGTGGGGGAATCTGACATCTCTGAACGAAGAGCTATGTTCAACGATATAATGAAATTCATCTCCAGACATGAGGATCTAGCAAGGAGCCCTGAGTTACTGGATTTTTTAGGTAACTAAAAGCTGTGAGTGTCCCCTCTCCCATGAATGTGCTTTATGAAAATGTTAAGTTCTTGATTCGGGTAGCCAAAATCCARAGAATGCCAAAATAAAGGCCTGATGAAAATATCCTTGTGTGTGTTTACAGGACTGCACAGTCATGTTTGCTAGTGTTTTTTCCTCTTCTCAGTGGACATATGCCTCATTCAGAGCTGTTGATAGAGGCCTTCAAAGCAAGCATTGTGCTGTGCTGTCTCCGATTTTCCTGCTGTGCTTCAGAACATGTAATTCTAGCAGGCTAAATAGTCATATGTTGTCAATGGAGATGGACCCTAAAGGGGCAGTGCAGGGTCTCCCTTAGTGAGCAGCTCCACCATGTTTTGTCCATTTTTCCTGCAWATTATTGACTCTGAGAAAGATTTAAATGGCAGATTCTTTATTAGTTAAAATGCTTTCTCTGGCCAGCTTTTTTTTCTTTTAAATTTATTTTAATTTATTTTCTTAGTTTTCCTAAGCCTTATGTCCAGCTCTTGTTGTCTTTTCTATTGATTCATATAGTTCCTTTCTTATGTCTCTTTGGCATAGCAGGGAGTTACTGAATGAATGGAGCACCTGAGTTCTTGGCTTTAAATTCAGCTGAGAGCTACTGAGCAGGGAATACTCCAGCCTGGTGCTGTTCAGCATTCTTAGTGGASGGTTAATTTTAAGAAAGTGAAGTTGCAAGGTCCTAACAAGTGTGAACAGCCCATTTTGCAAAAGTGTCAAGTGTGACCAGATTAGTTCTGTGAAATTGGCAGCTTCCTAAGGTCAAAGGGGGCAAAGCTGCTGAATGCYTGGTGAGATCCAGGTAGTAAGGTTTTTGTTTGGTTTTCAGTTTGGGTTGGTTTTTTCCCTTGCAGTGTTCTCTTTAAAGCAGAMCCCTTGCACAGAGAATTCAGAATTCATGTTGCTTGATCTCTGTGTGCTGGTTAACCTAACCGTGGTGCACGTAGCTTCAGCTAAACTAGGCTGGACTGCATTCTGTGGGCAGATTGGGTAAAAGTAATGTAATCTATTCATCAAGATTCGCCTTAGAATAATGTCTCACCCTGATCTGGCCGATGCAGACGAAAAAAGCTGGCTGAGTCTCCCATGCCATGTTACTTCAGTAATCAAAACGGTGTAACCATGAATTTTGTCCATCACAGTTTTCAGTAGCTTTCTTTTAGTTAGTCTTACTATTTTAAATTGCTTCCTTGGACGTCCAAAAACTTGACAGCAAGAAATGGTTTTGTCCTCCTTTTCCTGGCTTTTCATGTAACAGGTATGGTGAGGAGGCCTAGCTTCATGTTTCAATTGGCTGAATTTGCTTMGTTGGATACATCTTGCATGCTGAAGAGTGTTAGAACTTCAGGCTTCATTTTCCAGTRTAAACCGAAGAGCTGCTGTAGAAACATGCTGCCTAATGCTCTAATTTTAGCCCAAGTTTATTACATAGTATCAAAAAGTGGATTTAATCTTAACTAGATTTGTGAAAGTTAGCTACCTTACATCTAAGCAGARTATTTACAGCMCCTGTGYAGCCARTGAAGAGAAATAGGCACTTCAAAGARAAACTTCTCACACGACTTTATTTGGATGGGATGAATCACGATGTGGAAATTCTATTGTTTCTGTTGATTGTAGAAGGAACATAAATAACAGATTTGACATGCACTGCTATGTCTCAGATAAAGTTTATTTCCTCTGTCTTTTTCTACTTAAYTGCTTTAAATCAGTAAACAGATCAGACACATAATGATACACGGTGAATAAAGGGAAGAGTGGGAGTGTTTTGAAAATTTCAYAAAAGCTGATCATGTTCTTCATCCSTCAAACAAAATCGTCAGGACCAGGTGCAAGGTATAAAAAACCCTGTCGTTGTTATCCTGTGTACTCAGTTTTGCATCCATTACTGTGTTTTGCAGGAACAAAATCTTCCAGTGCCATTGACTTCAAGGGTGAAAACATGCCTGATGACAAGGATAAAGAAGAGGAAGAAAATGAGGTATTGGATTTTTTCAAAGAGGAGAAGACACCTGACTTAATCTCACAGCTTTTATCAGTAGAAAATGTCAAAAAAGTGGAACAAAAAGAAGAGGAAGATGAGGAAGAAGAGGAAATTTTAGACCCTCTTGGTATAATCAGGTATGGTGAAAATCTTTTAAGTTAGGTATTTAGATTTTAGCTTTTCTAAACAAGGCTGYTGTATGTCACTGTCCCCTCATGCCAGCATTTTATTACACTGACCACTTTCAGCTGAATTTCACGGGAGAGGAGGGCTCTCTGCAGTTCATGAATGAGATGCCTTGGTAGAGGGAAGAGACTTCGTGGTGCCTCTTCAGRGCATGCCAAGACATCCAGTGACAAGGACATTGTGAATGCCTTGATAACAGTCCCAGCTCCAGAGGATACTTTGCTGGCACTGCAAGGTTCTACCACAAAGCAACAACCCTCCAGCATCTGCTGGATGTGCCGTTCTGGAGTGCCCTGGACACTGTTTACAGTGTCTGGAACTGCTTTTGAGCTCACTTGTGGCTTTTCTTGTCTTTTTCCTTTGGCTGAAGGTGTCACATGCTAAATRCCACTAAGGCATAAGCAATAACAGCTTGAGAAACAGTAATTGAATCAAAGCTTCCTGATATTAGTATCTGGGTTTGTTTACCTGTCCATTAATTTTTTAGAGTTATTTTCTTCACTTCAAGATGAATTTTCTCACTGAATTTCAAACCATTTGTAACTACTGAAGTCTGCAAGCAAATTTAGYTTTTCAGTGGCTGGGATCATGAGTATTGACTACTTTTTAGGGCATCTCAGGCTTTTGATGTCCAAGTAGATAAGGCTTGGCTATTCTTCATCTTCAGTAAGCAATGACTGAGCCAATTGGATGGCTTCAGCCACCCAGAGTCACTTGCCACTACTGAATGTTCTTTGTCTTGGATCTAGACTGTGCTTTCAGAATGTTTCTTCATAGCAATAGGCAGGAACTGATAGTAACAAGCCAGACCCCTCTCTTGGTGTTGCCCACCGACATTAATTTCCAGGGGATCATTCACTCCAGGCTCTAAGCTGGAGTCTCCTACACTAATGTTGGTCAAATAAGATKGTTAATACTGGAAGCACTATTTGGACTTTGCTTCTGCTATAATAATCGTATTTAGTTGTAGATGTCCAGATGTTGTTCCCTTTTTACATGAAGTCTTTAATCCTTTAAATGTCACTAGACAACATTGCATATCACTCTTTTGACAAAATGTGCTGAATTACTCAGCATCAAAATTATTCTTYTGCTGCAGAAGAGTTTAAAAATATAAGTAACTATTTACAATGAGAAGTTAGATAAAGCATTGCTTCCTACAAAAGGGTCCTTAGTTGTATGTTTATAAAAGCAGCTATCCTTTTTTGGATAGGAAAATGATCCATTGGGTTAGCAAATGCAGTGCTGTGTTTTTGAACTTAAAACAAGCAGAAGCTCTAAAGAGCTTGCTATGCCAAAACAAGCAAGAAGTTTGCTTTTCTGCTCTGAACAGTTTGACATTTGAAAATCTTGATTATTTTTGGTCTTTTAATGCATTGAAGGATGRCAAGATCTGGTAGTTAAGCCTCCTTTAGTTTATTGGTTCCATTCCTTCTGAGAACAGAATTCTTTCAGAATCAAAATAACTTCAATTGTATAAGAAGTATGGTCTTCACTGGGATAGAGCTGCAGCCTGACAWGCTATGCAGCCTGKTTTTTTYTCWCTCTAAACCAGTGGTYGGTTCTCTATAAAAGAAATCTCCAYAGATATATTCTTTATTATTATTATTATTATGACTCTCACATGTACACGGACACATGTAAACGCTCTCACAGTGTTGGGGCAAAAATATGCAAGTGGAAATGAGAATTCTGAGTTGGATTTTAGATTGGCACTGTTCTCCTGTAACTCATCCTGCTTCCATGGAAGTTATTTTCAGCTCACATCAGTGGAGATCAGACTGGACATCAGCACTGTATCCCAGGTCTGTGCCATCCAGTAAGAGGTGTCTAGGTGAGAGGCCAAAGGCAGTAATGGTCAGTGGATGGGCAGTTCTTGGGGGACCGTTTTAGGGTGGCTTCTACGCCTGTTAAAATGTGTGTTAAAATGTGCTTTCATGCTTTGAAGAGGGAGCTGCAGCCTCACAGCTTTAGTGCTTGAAGTTACTTCAGGATAGGAACGAATAAACAAGAGGTGATCCAGATAAATTAATGTGTTTAGTAGTAAACTGTCCCCTAGTGCCTAGTAAATTCAGGTTAAAAAGGAAAAAAAAAMCATCCATGCTCCTTTCCTCTCTGAAAAACCTTTGAAAAGATGYAGAGTCAGCTGAAACAAGCCAGTCCATTCTGTGCAGTAGTGGTGGCCAGAATGTTTTGAGCAGCAGAGCTCCAACCTAAATTGAATCATGTGTTTGGCATAATCTTACAGGTTTTTTGCTTTCTGGATGAGGATGAAACTGCTCCRGTAGCACAGGCCTCCATATGCTGTCAGCACGCTTCATTTGGTAACAACTTCTCCTCCTGGCCAGAAGGCTGCGAATTGGATTTGGCCCAGCACTGCTGCTGTGCTACTGAACCACCCAATATCCAGTTAAATATCCTGGCCTAAGGGGTAAAATACTAAACTAAGTATTAGTATTTTACCCTAAGGGGTAAAATACTAAACTAAGTATTTTTTCTGGTTTTGTATTGCTGGTGGTCATTCAGGTGGGCACTCATAATGGCCTGGCCCCTTTTACCTGGAAGAGACATCCCAGTGGTGCTGATTCTCTTCCTCACATTCAAGGCTATGTCTGAATTGCTCTTTGATGTCAGGTGGCAAACTCACTTGCCAAGTCAGCCAATTCAGCTCTTCATCTTTTGTGGGTATTAATGATGCTCCACAAACTTAGTGTTTCTCTGTTATRTGGTTCTTATGTCTCAAAGCTGTCTCTCTGTGTTAGCAGGGTGATTCTAACATTCTTAACAAGAGAAAAACTGGTGGTTTTACTGTCCAAATCAGGAACATGTCAAAAACAATACATATTTCTTATTAAGTTTTCATCTTTTAACCCCTTCTCCTTTGTATTTTTTACCTCCGAAGCCTGGTTCTTCCTAGAACAAAAGGTACTCAAAATGGTTACATTTGTGGCATGCAGTGTAGAAATTTGTTGAAGTATGTTTTCTTCTCTTCACCTTCTACCTTTCTTGATAATTTGGAGCATTGTTATTCCAGTGTGTTGTCAGCAGTTACTCTGCAAGTTTTCCTAGACATTTGTAGAAATCTTTTCAGCTTTGGACWGAATATAGAGGTCCTGTAAGAACAAGCACTCCTAATACAGAGAAAGACCATTCTTTGATATCAGCTCTGCATACGGGAATGAATTATAGTATACTCACTTTTTTATAGTATACTTTAGTAGTGGCACGCTTTTTAGCTCCCTTTTACTTTTCTTACTACTTGTAAGCTACTGTAAGACTCTCATAACATTTTTATTAAAGTTAGCATCTCTTTTTTTGTTTGTTTTTTTTCTCCTGAGCCATCATTATCATATTCCTTTGTTGAAATGTTTAAATTCCCTTTTAAGTAGGAAATCAGATACATATTTAACTCCCCTTTGTAGGGACGATATTAGGTGTATTGACGTATCTTTGTCATCACTCTTAATCTCTCTTCTTTAACTCCATATAGCTCAACATTTGCAGATACATRTTTTTAAATCCTTAATATGGTACCATGGTGCTTTTGTATTGGGATTTTCAGAGGTGCAGTATCTTTTAACAATGCTGTATTTTAAAGGATTTTCCTCATAAATTGCAAAATAGTACTGTGTGGCTAGTCTCATTTGCAGGGGGTTCTACTCTGCCCTCAAGGCTCCTTAGGGCTTGGCTTTCTGTAGGGAATTCAGGCATCCAGTTGTGGAYTTTTTTACTTAATCTGAGCAAGATCAAGTTCACATTTCTAGGTCTTAATCTTRAAACAAGTTAAAAACACATCATGGTAACTGAATTGGGTTTTGTCTTCTTCCTCTGTGGATGAAATACAGTTTTACTGTTTATATATTGAAGCCAAGAGCTTTAGCATAGTTGTAGTTACAACAACTGAATTTAGTACTTGTATTCAGTTCATTCCAAAACACCTCAGACAGCAGCTGATTAAAATKACTGCAAACCAGCTTCTCTGAACAAAGCAACAATTTTGCAAAAGGAGTGTGGCTGCCTCATGGGTTAAAATATGCAGCAGCCCTTCCAGTGCATGCATTTCTTCAGCTGCAATTAACTTCTGAGGTAATATTTGTCCGCCACTTTGGGAGAACCCACCTTTTCCTGTGCTTTTCTTTTCCTGTCTTCATCAGTTCTCTGCAGTCCTCGCAGGAGCCTCTCCTCCACACAGTTCCTCCCTTCCGTCCTTTTTCCTTTGCCTCCCTAAATCTGTCAGTGACAGCATATATTTCCTCAGGCATGGGTTTTTCCTGGCAATCTGCACAGAGGTGAGTATTCCCTAAGCAAGAGTTCTTCTATCTCCTCATTGGTCCTGGAGWGTTTCTGTCTCTGTGCCTTTACCATTGTTTCAGAGGATTTCCCCTCATGGCTCTCCTCATCCAAATTTGTGTCTTTCCTGTGGAATACAGACATGTGGGTAGGTGGAAACTTTGCATCTGTTGTGCTTAAACCCAGATACAGCAAAGTCCTGACATTAGGAAGGTGAGGGTGGTGAGGGCTGTCCTTCTGGGTGCAATCCTTTTGGGCTTTTAAAATCCTCATAACTGGTTGTTGCTGCAGTTGAGCTCAAGCACCTTCAATGCTGGAGGTTTGCTGTTGCTGGGTTTAGTTGGTAAGGAGATTATTAAAGCATTTGGTGCTTTTCCTGGCTGTAAATAAAATGGRTGATGGCTTAGAGCAGCAGATTGGCAGGAAATGAGCAGCCAGGAGCCAGCCCTGGCCTTGCCAGAGCCTGCAGAGCCAGGCAGGCTGCAGGAGGAGCTAAGCTGGCACACAAGCCAGGAGTTGTTTCTGGGTTGCATCCTACACCTTTGTGTTTCCCAGGCTAGAGTTTGGCTCCTGAGTTGTTGATCCCAGTGCTCACTTTCCTTTTCCCTGTTGTGGCAGAGGAGCCTAGAATGGCCTCAGCCTGTCTTTGGGGAAGAAATGA